AGCATTGGTACTCCTTGAAATCACCCTCGAACTTGTGTGCTGCATAGATGGACAAGGGCTGCAAGCAAGGATGGCCAGCAATGGCCTCAACCCTCAATTGATAGCACTACAACACAGACGGCCCGGTATGGGATATTGAGTTCTTCCTACAATGAAATGTGTTTCTATGCCTCGCAATCAACGGAAGGTTTCAAGGATGCTAGGGATGCATGTCTTCCGATGACGAGCCGGATGAAGGAGTTATATGAGAGGAATTTGAACGGTGGGAATGGAGACAAAGGGAAACATTCATTCTGTCGACAATTTGGAGTAGAAGATCCTGATGTTGTGAAGACAAAAGGGAACCCGAGACGGGCTTCGTCCAACTGTCGAAGACCAAGAAAATGTGGGAATTGCAAATGCATTGGGCACACAAAGCGAACGTGTCCTAAGGTTCGGTTTAGCCGAACAGTGGGTAGTAACTCAGATGCAGATACAACCCACATAACTGACCGTGAGTACAATGCGGAGTCATTACCCGTTCGCTGCAAAACTAGGTTGGTGGATCCAAGTACACCGCACATTAAGCAACGGCGACTATTTTTCGATGCTTCTCCTGATTCCAAGCAGCCCATTGGCCAATACGTTAGTGTTGAAGCAGCAGTGTGTAAAAATGATTCGACCATAATTGATGAGGTGAATCAAGTAATTGTATAATTTGTATGATTTACTTATTCCCTTAATTTATTAGGTAGACAGTACTAACTATTGAAAACACATGTAAATAATGTATGTAGTTTTCATTTTGCACGGATTGCTTTGCGTAACGTGTAAATAATTGGTTACGTACAATGCCAGGAAATGGCACAACATTACTTATGTACAAGGCCACGAGTTGTAAATTTCCCATATTGTTTAGAGTGATGTTGTCATTTGTGTTTGCAGTGACTTGTCATTTTGAAAACTAGTTGAAGGTGAGATATATATGGGTTGTCTGTGTATTGTTTTAGGTTGGAAATTGGCTTATGTCTTTATTCCAAGATTCCTATTGCGGGTTGCTCGTTTGTGTTCCATATTTGGTTGGATCTAAGTGAATCGTTTCTTGTGGTGTGGTTTACCAGCTAACAATGTGTTTGGCTTCGTATTGATTTGTTATGACTTGTGTCCGTAAATTAGTATTATATTTCGAGTAAAATACGAATTTGTCCAAGTGGGTTTGCAAAATTACATACCAGCACATGCATTTTGTATATAATCCAAATGGCAGTTAATTTTGGGTGTTACTTGGAGAAAGTAACCCAACGAACTCGTTACTTTATCTCCATGCCGATTGCTATATGAATTACCAGTAACGAACAAGAGTTGTGAAATCATTTCATGTTAACTGTGAAAGTGATGGGTTTATTGTTAGTAAAATTATGGTCGGCCTATATCGATAACAACGAAGCAGTAATTTAAAGTTGACAAGTTCAAGAAGAAAATCAAGCAATTGTGGTATTGGTTCAAATGCCTGAAATGGATGAAGATTTCTTTCGATGAACTGATGGTAACAAAGTAGAAAGTATAAAGTAAGTTGTTGTGTTGTTGTTCATGTGCTCTCTGTCTGCAAACGTTCTGCCCTTTATAGCTCTTATTTCCCACGATCCCATGATCTGCCGAAGCGGCAACTGCTTCTGTGCAACTTTTGTGACTGCACGGTCATTTCCATGTCTTCAAACCACATAAAACCTTTACTTGTACCTATTGAAGTGCATATCTTAAAGTTGCCACCTGTGCCCAAGTCCTTTTAGCCTTTCCTCGACAGATACAGACTCCCAATTCGTTCATGTTTCCTCTTGGAGGGTGGCCACTAAATCCATGAGCACTGCCAGTAACTGCTCCAGCGTGTAAGTCAGGTGGCATGCAAGATTCAATGTTAGTTGAATGGAGCAGCTGTTGGCA